TCCAAATGTTTGCTGGAAAACCTGCTGGCTTTTTCACCCTATGTCATAAACATATGTGGTAAATATAATTGCGGTTTTGATCGTTAAAAAAGACCAGAAATCATGTTTAAATAAGTTATTATAGCAAAATATTAGATAAATATTGTATACCAGCATAGCTTATTAAAGGATTTAAACCTCTAATGCTATTTTTCCAGAAGATGAAATAACCAGTAAAATAGGAGAAAATTGGAAAATTAAGGAGTTTTGTATACTCTCGCAATTGACTGCAAAATACATTTTTAACACTTAAAAAATAAAATGATTTTAAATTTTGTTATGAATTCTAATTCAAATAAGGTCGAGACATGCCATATTAAATAGATGGGCATATTTAGCAGTTTCCATTTAATGCGTGAGTAATCTTTACAAAGAAATCGTGTCTAGAATATATATTATTATTTCTAATTTCTATATAAATAATAGACCCAGTGTAGCAATATTCACTGTTACTGACAATAAATACAAACACAACATTTCTTGATTATTTAACTTGAGAAAATGAAAAAATAATAATGAAGATATACACTACAACTATATAATAAGTAATTGAAAATTAGATAGTGTTGGTGGTTCCCTAAATCAAATACTATAAGGAAGATATAGTTATGTACAAAAAAAATTATTTGTCTACCCACTGTTAATCTTATTTTATTGTCATATTATTGCTTTTAAAAAACCTCAGTGCCTCTCAGTATGTCCTCAGTAGCCTCAGTAAAAACCTCAGTATCACACAGTATCAGCTCAGTGCCCTCAGATGCACCTCAGTGCCACTCAGTACTTCACTAGTAGCAACAGTGCTAACCTCAGTGCTCCTCAGTAGCACAACAGAATGCACCGTGAAAACCTCAGTGCTACTCAGGACTTCCTCAGTTTCTCAGTAGTAGCCTCAGTACAACTCAGGGTTTTCTCAGTACAACTCAGTACTTCCTCAGGGTTTTGTTGGATTCTCAGGGTTTTTTTAATACAGTAGTGATAGTTACAAATTTTTACAATGTATGTCCATGTATCATGTCATATTTTTTTCCAATTTACATTATATTATATCAAATTGTATCATATTCATGAATATATAGTTGTACTTTGAAATAGTAACTACGTATCTTTGTCTTGATTTTATGCCTGTGCGTTTCATTTGTGGTTTTAATCTTAGCTTTTTTATCCATCTTTTATAGAAGAAAGCAAAGAAAGTCCGGTACAGATTTTGGAATCTTATTAAATACATTTTTTATGTATTTTGTAGTATAATGCTAAATTTATTAACGTTTTATGTTTCATTTGAAGCATTGACATAAAAAAGAGACTTAGTTTTAACATTTCCCATTAACAATTTTCTCATTTAACCCCAGATGTTGGAACACAGGCTATACGCAGCACAGTTAAGGATACAAATGGAAATATCGGCCATTTTTTAAGATAAAAAATACATACTTTATTAGGATAGGCGATTCTTTTTAGGAATTCACTGATATAAAAAAAATGTAATGTGGTTTAAATCTACATGTTGGGGACGTTTAGATTTTTTATTTAGACTTGTCATGTGATAGCGACGTCACATGACTTTGGCAATTATACTTGCAGTTTAGAGGTCATCTATAAATTTCAATATTTCAATATTTCAAGGGCATAACCAAGTTAAAAATTTTAGTTTATTTTATAATCCTTTTCAACACTGTATGTAGTTTGTGAAAAGTGCTGCGAACCTATATAGATTCCCTTTTTTAATTGGTAAAATTTAATTTGTTGGACGGTAGGTTGAATATTTTGCTGGTCAACTACATTAAATAAAGCTATAATTAATTTATTTGCAAGATTTCAAGAGGTTCGCAGCACTTTTCAAATATCTTAATGCTTCTTGAGTTTATGTGTAAAATTTTGACAAGATACATTGAGGGTATGCCCTTGCAAGAAATCGATTTACTTGGGCCCTTCCATTACTTTTTCAATGAATCTGCATACAAACACAAGACAGTATCGCTTGTCTGGGGAATGCATGTACAGTTTATAAATAAAATACTAAAATAGACATCGCATCCAAGTTAACGGCTTTTTATTTTACTCCAAATAATATTTTATTTGAGAACAAAAGACATTTTTCTTTGTACAAAATGTGACTTGATCAGTCTCTCACTGTGTACAAACTGCGTCATTTTTCTGAGATGACGTCACATTGACAAGTGCATTGCGATCGATGCATCGTTTATATACTGTTATGTGGGATTTAACAAACGACAAAACTGCATGTAATAGTAAATTTGTATGTAGTACACAGCTATCCAGCTGTTTGAAATAGTTAATAATTTAATTTTGTGGTATTTTAAAGACCTTATATTATGTGTAACGTCATAGTAAACATTTTCCGTACAAATTAGGCCCCGCCTTCTTACTGTAACCTTAACTGTGCTGCGTATGAAATAGCAATGTTCTTGAATTAAACAGGGTAAGCATGTATATTTAAGTATTTTCAATGAAGAAAAATAATATGAGCGCAGTCTCTGTTCTAAAAAAAAGATAAACATGTCCTTTAATAGCCAGAAACAGTTCTATCATTTGCTAGTTGCATATTTTAGATCAGAGGTTGCGCTCTATATTAAATATATATATATAAGCTTTAAAATTGACCGTTTTTGTGGTCTTTTTCAAAATATCAAGAAATTGACCCAATTTATGACATCATTATGCATTGACTAACCAAAAAATTATAACATTTTTATAAATACGCAATCACCAAAGATATGAGTAATATACAATGCATTGTTAATTAAATTAAGAAAGTTCACTAGGGCCAAAAAAGGCCTAGGGCCAAAGTGAACCTTGTTCTTTCAATATGTATCAATATTGATTACAAAATAAGCAGTAGCTGCAAACTCAATTTCATATCAAACATGATAACTTTCATTTGATTTGAAATACATTTCAAGTTGGTATTTCTACAATTTCCTAGAATGTCTTAAATTGAAAAAAAAAATAATAAAGAAATAAAAACATTGTCAATTTACGTGTATAATGAGATTGATTTGCAATTGTAATTTAAGGTCCTGAGTTTTTTTTTCATTCCGATTGAAATGTTTTCCTATTTCCATTTTAAGAGTGTTTAAAAAAAATCAGTCCTGCAATCATTATTTACTTAGTACTTTTTATAAACTGTAATTCAATCGCCCTTGACTTACGTTTGAAAGGGTAAATTATCATATAATTAGTAAAATTACTCATTGATTTATGATTTATTGAAGCCTTTGATTACATACATAATTATATTCATTGAGCATTGTTTCATTCATCATTCCATATTCTAAAAAAATCAACTTCATAAAGACAAATTAGTTGTATTCGCACATCAAAGATTAAGGGTTAATAAAAAAGCAAAAAATACAATGATTGCTATATAATAGATGACGGTACAGGCCATATACATGATATTATGCAAATACAGTCCTTTAATGCAGTAGATGCATAAATATATAGACTTCCTTAATATGCTTTTTAGGGAATTGACGATGACGTTGACGCGTAACACAGCCGAGTTGAGCTGTATGCTTGAAAGTTTTGTTGCAGGGCAAACACGACAGTCACGTGACTGACTCGGCCAATCACATCCTACTAAACTATTGTTTATTCATATGAGGTATATTAATACTGTTTTTCTATTTAAATCTTCCAAAATGAATTAGTCAGCTTCGCGGACATCGTTCGTTACACAAGGTGAGGCAATATATGTGCACTTCCGCGGTTATAGTTCAAACCGAATTACAAAGTACTTCCAGTACCGTCCACCATTCTAGTCCCGAATCTGCTGAATCTGCGTCCCGGCAGACGATTGCGTGCATTTACAGGAAAAACTCCTACATAAACAAATACATGGGCGCAGACATTTTGGACACCCAAAGTTGTGCGGAGGAGAAAATGCTACCTTTTGCGTGATTGGTCAATAAGAGAAAAGACTTGTTATGTATTTGACAAGTGAAATAAAGTTGATAAAAATCTTATATCAAGACTTTGGTTCTTTGAGAGATATAGGAGTTACAGGTAAAAATTGAAGGGAGGGGTGCACTTTGGTTAGATATTTTCCTTTAGAATCAAACGCACCTAATTGTAAACAAATGGAAATTGAAAGTAAAAGTGCTGCGTGACGGTATATTTTTTCTGCCATGTTTTGATTTCCAATATCTCGAACTTTCACGACAAAGGGGTCATTTGCCCGAAATTCAATATATGTATCAGTGAGAGAGGCTCTAAGTTTGTATGGAAGTCTATGGGAAAACATTTGGTGGTGTTAGTCTTGTTCCTCGATTGTAGTTGCATTATCCAAGAACTTCCAAGGGACACTACTGACGTCAGACATAACAAAAATAACAATTACAGCTGACGTTTTATCTATTAATAATTTAGAGTATCGTAAAGTTGCTATATTTTTGAAAAAAAAAAATAAAGATGAAAAATGTGAAGGTGTAAGATATGTCAAAGACGTTTAGAAATTCGATGTTTCAATAATTTCCAGAAAAATAATAAGATTTTTATTATATTTCTTATGAAATCTTTAAGCAACATAAAGGTTATGAAATTGTCAAAAAAATTTGAAAAAAAAAATACTTGCATCAAATCTTTGTCTTAGCACCTCTAGTGCGGGACCTTTCATAAGTTTATTGGTAAAAAAATCATTTAAAAAATATCTTTCTTGTACAAATGATAAAGATCAGGTAACTGCTTTTCTCAAGTTCTGCCTGCCCCACGACTCAATCTTTATGAGAAAACGTATCCGAGGGACGGCCGTATAATCTTAAAACCAGTTAACCGTAAATTTTCTTTCAAGCTTTGAGCGGAGGTGTCTAAACATTGTGTTAAATAATATCTTACGTTTATTGTCAATGCCTAAAACTGGTTTAACATTATAATAAACGCCAGACATTTTGTCACGTGACTTGCGTAATGAGATAGGTTGCTTCGTCCCAATAACACTCGTGTTCATTGTGTGTAGTTTCATTCAAAAACTGTGAAAATATGGTTGAATTTCAAAGATTTTATATACTATGGAAAGGAAAAGGAACTTGTTTTATAGGATCTCTTTGTGGTGGATATATTCTTGGTATATTTAATACTTTTATTGAAAACAAATCAACTTTGAGCCCACACAATATGGTAATGGTGGCCACAATGTCACAAGCTATTATGAATTTTCCGTCTATGAAATGTAAACAACAAATCCAAAAGTGGTTGATATCGCTTCGGAAAAGCTTTTGAGCTTGGAAAAATGTTGGATTGGATTCAAACCGTGCAGCAGCAATCAGAAGGGATTGGATAGTTACAACTTTTTAAAATAGAAAGTAAATGGACATGAATTTTAGAGGCGATTAACGATAAACAGGATTTAATTTTGATAGTTTTGGGGACTGAAATTCTCAAAATGCAGACCGAAGTCTTTTACAGTCGACACAATCTTTTCTCTTTAAAGATGTATTTTGTAATCCACCTATATTCTCTTAAGGGTAAGAACAAGTCAAGCGCAAAAACACATTTTGATATAAATGACGTAGACATGATTATTTGTGTCATTTATGTCACGTGACAAAAACATTGCGGCTTTCTGAGATGACATAGACAAAACGTGAGGACAGATATTTTGATTCTTTAAGTGACTATACACATGAAGGAAATGGGAAACTTTTACAGTTTTCTGTGGATATTATTACTGATCAATTTGACATCATCCAAGGTCAGTTTTGATAAAAATGATATGTTGATACTTGTGATCACAAACACAGAATTAAGTATAATGAGTGTTTTACATATCAGAACAAAACTCAAACTTTTCATATGTAATTAAATCTTACAAATACATATTTCCTCAAGCAGATAAGCAAAGACAATCTTTGAGACAGCTTTATAAAATATTGAGATAACTGTGGAATGGCTTTTGAAGTGCTGTAAAATTGTTCTGTGGTCGCTTTTTGAGTCCAATAGAATGCAAAATTTGCAGTCCCAGAGATCTCAGAACTGATTGTTTGGATTAGCTAGGCCCTTGTATATTCCATAGCTACAAAATTCTCTACAGTAATTTTGTTTATTTTCTACAGACAACGTGTCTAACTCTAAAACAAAAAGTCTTTCTGAAAAAGTTGGGATTGCGACTAAAGAAAAATGGAATACTCATGGACATGTGTAAACACTTGTCGATCTCGGATGTAAAAAGATCTTCAGTGTTGTAAATCTCTTTTACACACCATTGTCGTGTTGATTTAATCTGACAAAATCATAATAATAATGAATAAAAATGTTCTGGCTCTAAAACTGGAAGCAAGCAAATGTACTTTTCTAACCCATGCATATAACTTTATTATAAACATATGGTGTTTGGAGCAAAACAGTTAAATCAATTAGCACCTTCCAAAGAAAAATTATAGACAAAAGGGTACATGTATACTGTTAATACGCATGTCAGTCCATCCTTTCCTCTGTCACACTTTCATATTCATCAATCTCTTTTTACATATTACACAGTAGACTCACCATCTTCTGGTGCTCTGTGGATGTGCAATAAGGTTTTGGAAATTTTCATTTGCACCCTTGGGGTCCAACCGGAGTAGAAAAATGACTTTTTTTGCAAAAAGCCCCTGGTTTTCGTAACCCCTCTTACATTTTACACAGTAGCCTAATCGTCTTTTGGGAAATGGTTGGTGGTATCCTGTTGAAGTGCAATAAGATTTTGAATCTTTTTTCCCTAGGGTCAAATGAGTGAAAAAATAACGTTCTTATGGAAAAGGCCTCTGGTTCTCTTTACTCCTCTCAGTTTTTACACAAAAGCCTAGTCATTTTTTAGGAGATGATCGGTGGTGTGCAATGGATGTGCAATATGGTTTCAGAATTTTCATTTTTACCCTGGGGTTATACATGGTGGTGAAAAATTGTGTGGTTTTTTTTTATTTTTAGACACCCTGGTTCCCAAAACTTGTCTTTTATGCTATGCATTAGCCTAATCGTTTGGAAGATGATTCTTTTTGTCCTGTGGATAAGCAAAATTGTTTCAAAATTTCATGTGTATGGCAAATAAGGGCAGGGGAGAGGTCCCTCCCTCACTTATGAGGTTATGACTTGTAGATACTTGATGATACACTACTAAAAAATCGTTCAATACTGTAGATTGGCAAATAATCACGATGGTTTTAATTTCACTATGTTCGCGATTTGTCATTTTCCCGCGAAATTAAACCCACCGTGAATGCTATCATTGGTCTTACAAAATATGATTAAATGCGTATATGAAATCAAAATGAAGTTCTTGCAGCGTGAAATTAAATCAATCGCGATTGGTACTTTTTAAGAAATCGTGAAATTTTACCACAGTGGAATTAAAACGATTTACAGTATTTATATATCTAATCATTACAAGTCTGGAATTACAGAGTTTAGTTAATGATGTAAATTGAGAAATTGTTGGTCCATAATTAGTAATTAATAACTTTGAACAAATCGTATTCACTTTTATTCAGTATTTGGGGCAGGCAAAAACCTGCTCGAAGAGCGACTCCAAGTCAATACTATCCCTTTATTGCAACACACATACAGTTTGCCTGTTTTGGGAAAAAGGCCTCGATAGCCACTAGAGCTATGTTAAAAATCGATTGTAATGACAATGTTAAAGTTGACTCTTTTCTGTACATATGTATATTTTTATGAAAAAATTCTACATCATATAAGTCTTACGTCTATCTACTAGTACTAGTTTTACCATTATCATTTTTATTTCACATAGTGAACATGTCTTTAGATCGGTCAATATCAGTAGGAATTAGTTCATTGTGTGTTTTAATTGGGTTATATTTCATAAAATGGGCAGGTCTATGACAGTCGATAAGTACAAGTTTAGGTATAGTATGTGATAAAATAATATGAAATGCAAATGGTTACATGCTCAACTAAACAAAACCCCAAAAGGGCAAAATCCTTTGCAATCAGGTATTTTAAAAATACTATCTAGTGGTGGTGATTGTAGGTTCCATGTTTCTATGGGCGGGGAGGAGAAGTCAAAATTCAAAATTCTTATTTTATTTGCTTCAGTATATATACCTTAGATAGAACTGCAAATTCCCAGGGGGGGGGGGGCACTCATTTTCCTTGAAATTATAAATGATCATGTGACTCAAAAAATAGTTGAACCAATTTTTTAATTTGACTATACATAAATTTGTTTCTTCTGTTATTATGCATATCTAAAGTTATAAATGTTGTAGATTCCTGAAGGTCATCCCCAGTTGATCACACTATGACCTAAGTTGAATTAAAAAGTGCAACAGTGATAATGTAAACTGCTTGACATTACATCCATATGGCTTTGGGTCAGCCCCGTCTCCTACAAAAAGTAATGGAAAACGTTCAGAGAGATGTGCCACTAAACAATTTGTATACATGTATATTGACGTTTTATTTAGGTCAAAACAAAGTATTAGTTTAGAAACATGAAAAAAAGGCGTCTGTGAAGGGCAACGTGACTTGGGAGAAGTTATATCTGCATGTTTTTTTTTTTTCAAAATTTGAAACAGGCAATGCTATATATATGGTGACGATAATAAACATGTCTACATTGGATGCTTATATTCTTTAGAATTCGGTTCTTGATGAGTTTTGTGCTTTTTTCCCAAAATTATCCTGATTGATTAACTTATTATATGTTGTTTAACGTCCCTCTCGAGAATTTTTCATTATATTTAGATAATACATTTTGCTGGTGGATAGCTGCAAATTTTGTCCTATACTCGGCATGTAGGTCGGTATGCAAGGGTGATTCTTTTTCGTGGCAGCAACTTCTGCGACAGGGTTCTTTGCTTGATACGGTCTCATACAAGGACTGGCCTCCATGTTCTATAGTGGAATTCGAACCCGCGAGGTAATAATCAACTTCTTACTTCGCGACTCTAATGCATATGATCTAACCACTGCGCCAAATTCACATCAGCTTCTTAAAACAATGAACAAACTATTGCTTTTCAAATAGTACAACTCTTTATAAATAGTGTATGTCTTTGTAAGTATTTATTATTATAAGTTAATAGCTCACTTAGCTTTTTGATTTTTTCATCACTTTTTGTCTGTCGGCCATCCGTCTGTTTGAAAATTTTTCACAATGTTTTTTACTTCTTCTCAGAACCACTGGGCCAAATTCAAACAACCCTGCCCTGAAGCATTCTTTGGTAAAGGGGATTCAAGTTTGTTCAAATAATGCAGCACACCCACTTTTAAAGAGAGATAATCAATAATTAGTGAAAATGTGGCGGTACCATTCGTACCATATCCGTAACAGAAACCACGTGGCCAAAAACATTGAAACCCTTATTACTATTTCTTTACATAGACTTAATGTAGATTCAAATAAGTTCAAATTTGGAATCCCTGGGGTAGGTGGGCCACATTTGGGCATCCAAAAATTTACATGGAAGTATGCAGAGAATGTTATCTTTCATAAATCATCTACTCAAGAACAGCAAGGGCGTTATATTTCCCCGTTTTCTCATTCGTCTGTCAGTCCGTCTGTCTGATACAATAAAACTTTAACCTTGGTCATAACTTCTGAATGATAGGAGATAGATGTTATATTCCACATAAACATTAACGTTGACAAGAACTTTTCACATATACTCTAGGTTTTGACCTCGTGACCTTAACCTTGACGTTTTACATATATTTTTCAACAATTTTAACAACATTATTTTAAAGAGCATTATATGGTAAGAGTCTCGAGTGGCACCTTAAAATGAAAATCTTTATTTTACTTTATATATAGCTTAAATTTGTACAGCTATATATGCGACCTTTCTTGGTCATTTTCATTTTGATCAAAATGCCGTTATTTAAGAAATATGGCATCATAAAAATCACGTTTTCCCGCCATTTTAGCATAATTTGTATAAAACCGCTTATTTTCAAGCAGTTTTTCTTCAAGAAAATATAGAGCGCAGCCTAGAACAAGCTCTATATTTTTACCAAAGATGTATCTATCGAATATTGATTAGTGACAGAAAAATTATGCATGTTCTACACTGAGCTCTATGTTTCCCATAAGAAAAAAACATCAAGAAAAAGGCATATTTTGGCTTTTTTTGTTAGATAGCAAAAATAGCATTATTTCTCATGGCATTTACAGCTAGAGTATGCATATAAATGTGAAAAATATATTAGAAATATTTCTAATATAATCTCTTCTTCAAAATAAATATCAATTAAACATATCTGAATATCATTCAAAAATGTTGATTTTTAGGGGGCCAAAATTGGCTCTTATCATATATACTCCTTGATCATTTTGAAATACGAAAAATTAGGTAATGATTTCATATCATGCATTGATATCATCTGTGACAAGGCATTTCTAAATATATCATCACTTTTGACCGTGTTAACTTGACATACTTTGCAAAAGTATTATATTTCCTTCTAACTTTTTATTCAGAAGAGATAAAACTTTCATATGTGACATATACATAACCTGTGATGTTCGTTATTTTTTTCTAAATTTTCAAAGTTTATGATAACGTTTGAATGACATACATGTACATGTACATGTATCATAGGACGTGTATGTTTGGCACAAAATGCCATGAATGATAGCACCCCAACCACTAAGATATCAGAAGCAAGGGACCACATTTTTTGAATTTATTTCTTAGTCATATTTATCTGAAAACAGTCTCATATAGTGTAAATTCAAGATTTTGTTTTAATTCTGACTTCCGGGGTTAGGGGCGTGCCACGATTAAGGATAGATTTTTTTAAGGAATAAAAGGGAAAAAAATCTAGAAATTCTTCTAATCACGAACAACAAGACCATGATTAGACAAATTGATATTAATATTGAAATATTCTCAAGAAGTGAAGATTCAAATTATGACACCACAGGTTAGGGAGGGGCCGTTTCTCCTGCCCCTATTTGCCATACATGCACATGAAAATGCTTACTTTGAAACATATACAGGGCAAAAGGAATCATCTTCAAAATGATCAAGCTATTGTATAACATAAAAGGGAAGTTATCGGTACCAGGGTGTTTGAATATTGAATAACACAATGTTTTCCCCGAATTTGACCTCCAGGGTAAAAATGAAAAAATCGAAACCATATTTCACGTTCAGGAGACACAACCAACCGTCAACTAAAAGATGTTTAGGCTACTTTGTAAAATGTAAGAGTGCTTAGGGGAACCCGGGGCTTTATGCAAACCCCCTCTCAATTTTCGATCCCGATCTGACCCCCAGGATGAAAATGATAAAAACCTTATTGCATATCTACAAGAGTTGGTTAAGCTATTGAGTAAATTGTTTGAAGAGTTTGAGCAAGAAGAAAATTTTTAAGACGGACAGACAGACATATGTTAGAACAATATTCCCGAAAGGGGTGGGGGTGACAAAATTATTGAGTGTATTAAGTTCATAAAAATGCTTTGCTCTGAAAGAATACTTTTTGTTGTAGAGATAATTATAAAAATATTTCAATTATGGGCCAAAAATTTATTTTTTTATGAAAATATAATTACATAAACCTACATCATTAATTAAATTCAATTAATTTATTCATAATCAAATAATTAAATTTAGACTGCTTATGAATTAGTACATAAAAATACCTATAGAGATTGGTCGGACCGTAGTATACAGGAGGTTAAGAACCATTAAAACAAAAGCGAAGTTTTGGATTACGGAAAAATTTCTTGAATATAACAATGTTACTTTTAGGCCCTTGTAATGTATTTTTTATTATTACAGGACATTCAAATCAACCTAGGCCTAAATAAAGTGAAGCTGAGCCAATCAGTCGATGCTTTCCCTCAACAGGTAAATGTTACAAGGTGTAGAAAATTTTCGCAGATATGTAATTTCCTGATGCACATTTGAAATATTTCAAGATAAAAATTGAATCAAGAACATTTTGTGAAATCATGTATTACAATTGAATATGATAGTCATTAAACATGGCAACAAATAGATTTAAAAAACAGACTAAACAATATACAAAAACCATTAGTGACTAATATAATATGTCCATTTCTTGGTTCTAACATTATAATGTTCCATCGTTGTTAATATTGAAGACATTTCCAGTAAATATAAAAATAATTGAAAACAAATTTAAAACTTATTTTGTGCTGCATTTCTTATGTTGGTAAGTATGTTTTCACCTATTCGTATTTCCTTTTGCTTGTAATAGCCTCATAAATACACTGTATTCATTTTATTTATTCAGAGTAGTCAATGTTGTAGTATTCCTTATAGCTATTCTTAAGGTGTATATTAAAGACTGAAATTAAAAGCACCTATAACTGTATTCTTATGCATTATGATTTTAATACTAAATTTAATCTAAGTCTCCCTGTGAGTAGCAGGATTCAACAACACCATTTTTTCAACATTATTATTGTTCATTTTGAAGTAAATTACCGTATTTTACTAGCAAGGTAACCTTCTCCTATAGACTGAAGATTCATTTGTTATTATAGATCCAAAAAAGAGCCGCCACATATCTTGACTATCAGATTATAACATACAAAGTCATTGATGCAAATGAAGATTGTACCCATGGAATCCATTTGATTCAGGCCAATTGTACTGATTTGGAAAGGCCTATATGTGTGAGAAACGTAACATATAGGAACTTGGTTGCTGTGTGTGCCCCCAACATTCCAATGCCCGGAACTCCAGGTAAGATTGAGATGATCATAAATTGAAAGTAAATCTTCAAATATCTGACAATCTGTCTTGTAAGATTACGTAACATACATGTATACTGTACGAGGATTGTTCGTAAAAAATCGTGGACAAAGCGTTTTTCTCGAAAAATAATGGGCGCTCTAAGTTCAATTTTTTAGCAAATTAATGTTTAATTATCATATTTAAATATAGATGAATTATTTTGATAATTAAAAATATAGACAAGGATTAGGATTTTATTATGCTGAAATGTGAACAAGATGCAGTACTAGTCCTGCAGAGCATGAACAAAAACTAGGGTTTCATTTGAGACTTCACAAGTATTTGATAGAAAAATTGGGGTATAAATTATCCCATTTTTAATCCATTATGTATTGTGTCATCTTTTTGAAATTTTCAAGGCATTTGCGTAATTTTTAGCAATGTCCCAATTTAGCATTTGAAATGGGAAAGTGGTAAACACAGCAAGAAAATGGAAACGTTTGATGTTATTAAATCGCTTCGGATAGCAGTTTAGTGTGATTAAGAGTCTTTATATTTATACAGAAGAGAAAAATCTATAGAAATATCATCAAATCTTTAGTATACAAGTGATTTGGTTGTTTTCTCATTGGGAAATCTCTTTGATCTAGTCCTAGTGTGGAACAAAACATATGGACAGATATCTATGGTAAAAGCAACTGTCAGACTCTGTCTCTGTAAACCGTTGATGAAAGATTGCCTATTTAGTTGAATGATAGTTAGCATGTTGTCCATAAGTCTGCAGAAGGTCCCATGTGTTAAAGATAATTTCCTCGACTATTTATGGGGGACTAAGAGAAATTAAAGTATGTGCATTAATGAAATTCCCTTATTTTTTGGGGGACTTTTTAGCAAAGACGCTGCTTTAGACACTTTGACTTTATCATCCGTGTGCCCTTATGCGATAGAAAACATAAAATATCACAATTTGTTTATTAGTTTAAATACATGTATCTATTTGAAATTTGCTATGTATGTTATGAAAAATTTACTAAAGAGTAGTGAAAATATTGGAACACATTGACAATTAATTTTACTCTAGACAACTTGTCCACGATTTAACCGGACAACCCTTGATATTAAGCTGCCTACGAAGCATGCAAATATATGGCTCAATAGCCTATATGAATGACTATAACAGCCCATGGGCCTTAAGCTGACATCAGATAATAGGGGAAAGGAGAATTGTGAGGTGTAACTCACTCAAGACTTCGTTTGAATTTTTCCATTTCACACATGTAAAGTGTATTACATGTAAGACTAGCTTAAAAATAATTATAGTATCTTTCTGGATTCTATTAAAGTACACAAACCCTCAGTTTCTGAAAATTCGGCATTAACGAATTGAGATGAAAATTCTCACAAAAATATCTCTGAATTTTCAAAGTAATGTTTTTTACCACGATTACTCTACAAAATTGCATCTTAAAAGTTTATTATATTATACAGGAAAGGATGTATTCACTATGAAAAAAGAATTGCATTATAGGAGAAAACAATTTCCCGGAAAGAGACATTTAAAAATTTATCATTATTTGTTCTTTTTTACCGTATATGTGTTTATTTTTTTTTCAAATTTGCATTTATACCTAAAATTTATTATTTACAACTTTACATTAAACCTCAAAAGTGGACCAAAACACCATTAAAGCGTTGATTTTTGCATGACTTTTGGCCTAGAAGTCCTTGAGGGCAGGCCTGTCCCTAAAGAAAATTGCGATATTTTGATAGATTAAGATGTTAGAAATAATTTTTGTTAAGATTCTCTGTTAATTAAAGTGTTGTTCTTACACCATATATGCTTTCTTTTTGAAGTCGGGGGTTCGAATCCACCTGGGGCCACATTACATAATTAATTTAAGTTATCCTTCTTTGTAGAGGATCGGAGTACCCTTAAATTAAAAAATGTTTATGTAAATGTCTTTTATAATAACCATTGTTTATTTACTTGCTTTGTTTTAATTTTTTACAGCATCTTGTCCAGTCTTCACATTCACAGTCACAACACCACCCATCCCTATTGTTCAGCCTGACCCTATAGCTACTTGTAAGAGCTGCTCTCGCTATAACGTATGGGATATAGAAAAATGTAATTATTACATATTTTATCAAGTTACTATTTGTCAAAAATAAGATTCATACAGATATAAAAGAAAAATTTAATTGGATTTACTGCTAAAATTTGCAATTTTTATCCAATAATATTGTGTTCTGGAACTGTGTTACACTGTACAAACAAAATCAAACTCAAGTTTCTTATCTTATCAGAGTTTTTCATATTTCACATGTATAACTGTGAAAAAAAATTCTTTGAGTGCACTGTATCATTATTTAAGCTCACCTTAGCTACATACTCAAGTGTTCCATTTCTGATCACTTTTTGCACAGTGTCTGTCTGTCTGTTTGTGTGTAAATTTTTCATATTTTTTATTTCAGACTTCAAAATGCAATCAAATTGTAATTTTTTAAAATGGGATTCAGTATCTTTTCTAGGATAATTGAATCAACTGAAATAAATCTCACGTGAAAGGCATTTATGGTTATTATCGGGTTTCTTCTTTAGACAAGGGGGGAAATCTCGAACTATAATGACGTTTTCCCCAGTTTTTCTTGTATTGCCACCTCAGTTCCCACTAGGGGAATAAAAGTCATTCATCAACTTTAATTTTATGATATTCTTTTATATCTAAATTCTTGTGGACAATGGTGAATAAAAAGAACTAATTTTGTTAATTTTGATTTAAACTCAAGTGGGCTTAAGAGGTTGAACCAAAGTTATTAAATTTAGTTCACACTTTTTAAAAATCTTATTAGTAGAAGACAGTTAAAATGATATGTGACAATTAAACAATTAAATTGCCTCCACCCCCTACCTGATTCTTTGCCTCAAGAATTTATGCTAAAGAGTGGGGCTAATATGATCTTTCATTGCAAAATGTATTTTCTTACAAAAAAATTAAAGAGTTATAAACTGAGACATATTTTTAATTCTCATGTAGGTTTATGTTGGTATGGTTAAAAAAAATCATGATTTTGAGGTGAACATCAAGGCCCAGTGTCCTTTTTGTATTATAAACATTTAATGCTCATTTTTCTATGATCTCTTAATCTTGCTAAAAATTTTAGATCCAGAATGTCTCATATTAGGAAAGGATACACCTACTCCTCATACCTCTGATATACCTACTACTCATACCTCTGACATACCTACTACTCATACCTCTGATGTTACCCGAAGTTCTGCTGGAAGAAAGGAACAACAAGAAAATGGGTAAGAGCCAACAAAGTATCACAGTCATATCTTTGTACTTTTGAGCTTCGCCTTCTGGGATCTGTTAGGTTTTCCGCGATTCTTTAACATTTATTTTGACTAGCACTAAATAACTCTAGTTAGTGACGTACACTAGTGTTATATACTAGTGTTATATTAATTGCATGCACGTATGTATACATTCATTGAAATATTTTTCCTTATTATATCACATGAGTCGCTCAAGTTTCCCATTGCTAACTTTTTTGAATTCGGAAATGGAACATTTTTAGCTTCTCTTCAACCACGGAATCAATTTCAAAGAAATTTGTCATATAGCATCAGTGGGTGAAGGTATACGATAAATGTGAAGTTCACAGTCCCTGCCCACAGCAGGGGCCTGCATTGTGGGACTAAAACCATCAAAATGTGTGCTATCTTTAAAAATCTTCTTTCCTTCTGGACATCAAGCAGTCAAACTGTTGGCATTATTGTAATAAGCATTGGATCCTCTTTCAAAATTTTAGTATTCAAGGTCCCACGGCCAGGGGTTCTGGTCCTAGGGCAGGGCTCTTTTTAATGTATATTGAAAATGCATATTTCTTTTTTTTAAAATATTTTCTGCTCCTGGGTATTAATATAATGAAGTTTTCACAAAGTTATTATGATAAAGGGTGCTTCTTTAAAATTTTGAACTTCGTTACCCCCAGGTTAGGGGTTCTAGTGTTAAGGTGGCTCATTAAATCAACAGTTTATTTTAGATTTCAGTACAGCACAACTTATAATTTGGATGTCAAATATCCAGATCGGGGTATTGATATCATAAATATTGTTTATAGAATTTTTTAGTTTTTGTCTAATTTTAGTGAAATGTTTCATTTCAAGTTCATTATTAATAGAATTTTAGAACTATCAATGTCAAATGATGGGCATCTTCTTAAGACGAGTACACACAGTGAAAATACCTCTTAATACCTAGTAATAATTTGATTAGAAAAAAAAATTCCTCTAAAAAACAATTAATGTCATTATCTTTTTAATCTATGCATGAAACATTAAGAAAATGAGTTCTGAAGAACCAAGGAATGTATTTCAATGAATTACATGTGTCAAATTGAATGAAGAATGTTTAAACGAAATGAAAAATCCAATTTAAAAAAATATTTGGTATAAAAAGTCCACTTTCAAGAGTTATCTTTCCTAATTACCGAAGGCTCAAAACATCAAGGAACGTTTGACATTACATCTAAAATTCAAAACAAAGCTTTAAATTGCCAGTGTATACATTTAAATCAATAAAGCAAATATATAAATTAACAACAACACAGTAAATAGTGCAAGTAAATAACTTTTTAATTTCAACAAGGTTGTAGATTTTAACTCGAATTTCCTCCATACAAACATTGATAGAGCTCACTGCATGCTGCATTGCATTGCTGATTCTGCTTAAAAGCAATTCTTCTTGGTTTATGCATAGTGAATCCGTTACTTTGTTTTCACTGTTTATAACACCGCATGTTTCATCTATTTTTAGAGCGTTTTAAAGGTCAGGGTCATATTATAGAGGTACCTAACAATTCGTCCCCAGAGGAAACCGGTCGACACAATGGAGGTTTATTTTTCTGTGTAGTATGTCATCAAAAAGTGGTGTAATGAGTCTCCTTAAGGCGGGACTCTAATGAAAATATAGTTTTAAAAACATTAGGTTTTTCTATCTTTCTGTGGAGAATTTTGCTGTTTTAATTATTTTCTTGCTTTTTCTACTTTTTTCAGGCAAAATGACATTAAAACGCTTAAAAAGATGAAAAGGCCTCTAATTCTTCACTGAACAATTAGTCGGACTGTACTATTTCTTTGAAAGTCTTTTTCTCCGATCTTGGATACTTAATCTATGATAAAGAAGGATGCCTCTTTCAAATTTTGAATTTGATGGCCCCTGAGTCATTTTTTTTAGCCCTTTTTGTCTTCATCTGGGTATTAAGAAATAAAAAATAAGCATGTGGAGTGAATAGCGAGATGAACAATGGTGCCTCTTTCAACATTTTGAATTTCATGGCCCTGGTTTGAACACGACACAAATTCAATTGTTGCAAGATACCTGTAATCTGGTGACCCATAAGGCCAATGGGCCTCTTGTTTTCAAATTTCACTAGAGTTATATTATAATTATGCCCCTTTTACACATTGAATAATTATAAATCCATAGTTTAAAGATTTTATAGGAAAAAGAGTACCGAAGAAAAATTGGAGGGGGGGGGGGATTTGGGGAACGTTTGAAATGGTCTCCTTTACAATTAGACATAGATTTTGCTTTGCTATTCATGATTTAAAACATACTGGTATATTAAATTCTTTATTCATGCTGTACTCGTTAATAGTCAGTATATATTGCTAAGGGTAGTAAAAGTATCCCATATTCAACATTTTACAAATTAATGAAATCACACTTGCCACAAATCATATCAGTTATTCTATCCTCTTATATTTTTATATTACTTAATTTTTTTATTACTTTGCTTGATTTCATTTCATCTGAATTTGTAATCTCACTAATTTCATTTTTTTTTTTATTTGTTTGTGTTTTTAAGGAATAAATAGTCAGAGCCAAGATTTGTGTTCTTCTTAAAATGAAAAAGAAAATGACAAGATAATATGTTTGTAGATTAATTCACCACGAAATCAGATGCCCATAAACCGACCTTTTGTCCTAACACATGAAAATTTGACTCTCTGAAGATTAAATCAATTAACAATAAAAGAAAAACAAGAGGCCCACGGGCCTTATAGGTCACCTGAGCATCATGCAACAACTTTCAAATTATTGAATTTGGTTCATGTTTTAAGCTAGATGTTATGGCATTCACAATTTTGAAAGAGGCACCATTCCTAATCATAACTATACATGTACACTTAGCAATTGCTTAGTTTGTTTACTTAATACTGTAAGCAGTTGGGGAACAAAAATGTATGTCAACTAATCAGTAATATTCAGCAATAATCAGGAGTGCTCCTACCACACATGAACCCCTGACCCTAGCACACTTGCTTATCAAAAATGTTTGATTAATACCAAGGTACAGAAATTAAACAATTCATTTTCAGTATATAAGTAGAGCCCCCCCCCCCCATTTTGGTATCCCTGACCCATCCAGGGGCCTGGAAATTCACAATTCTGGAAGAAGAGCCTATCATAACCATGTTATAAGCAATCTGCTTATTACCCAGATGTAGAGAAAACTCTTGCTCATCATAACTATGTAATTACTTAGTTTATTTAATACCTAGGAGCAGAGAAGAAGATTTTCAAAGATTTAATGCATTTCCACTATTTAATCAATTGAGCCCCGCCCTAACACAAGAACCCCTGACCCTGGGGCCATAAAATTCACAATTTTGGTAGAGACACTCTTGTTCATCATAACTATGTACTTAGTTAGTTTATTTAATACCTAGGAGCAGAGAAGAAGATTTCCAAAGATTTAATGCATTTTCACTATATAATCAATAGAGCCCCGCCCTAACACCAGAACCCCTGACCCTGGGGCCATGAATTTCACAATCTTGGTAGAGGCACTCTTGCTTATCATATCTATGTACTTAGTTAATTTATTTAATACCTAGGAGCAGAGAAGAAGATTTTCAAAGATTTAATGCATTTTCACTATATAATCAATAGAGCCCCGCCCTAACACCAGAACCCCTGACCCTGGGGCCATAAAATTCACAATTTATGTAGAAACATTCTTGCTCATCATAACTATATCCTTAATTAGTTTATCTAATACTCAGAAGCAGAGAAGATTTTCAAAGATTTAATGCATTTCCACTATTTAATCAATTGAGCCCCGCCCTAACACCAGAACCCCTGACCCTGGGGCCATAAAATCACAATTTTGGTAGAGGCACTCTTGTTCATCATAACTATGTACTTAGTTAGTTTATTTAATACCTAGGAGCAGAGAAGAAGATTTTCAAAGATTTAATGCATTTTCACTATAAAATCAATAGAGCTCCGCCCTAACACAAGAACCCCTGACCCTGGGGCCATAAAATTTACAATTTATGTAGAGACACTCTTGCTCATCATAATTATGTACTTAATTAGTTTATTTGATACCCAGGAGCAGAGTAGAAGATTTCCAAAGAATTAATGCATTTTCACTGTATAATCAATAGAGCCCCACTCTAACACCAGAACCCCTGGCCCTGGGGCCGTGAATTTTACATAGATTTTTTATTAGTTTTTGACTTCTTTTATACAGAAAATAATCATTTTAAACCGAACACTTTAAATCAGAGTTTATACCATTTTAACCTTGGTCCGTGCGCACTATCTGCGACCTTTAAAGACCACAATTTTTACAAAAATATTACGTTCCATCAATAAAAATTAAATCATGCTGACTTGTTTTTTCATAAGAAATATTTTGATATACAACATATTTATATAGAACCATTTATTTTCACAAAAACGTCATTGTCCACGAACTTTTTGGACAGCCCTCGTAAACATGTTTCTTAAAATGACCACTGTTTACTTTGATTACTTAATACCCAGAGGCAAAAATGGGAAAAATGTATTTTCACTAGATAATCATTAAGACCCACCCCATAAAAACTGTTCCTGGATCAACTTATTTCACACGTTTGCTCATCGTGAGTGGTGATTATTACCAGTATTTGATCATTAGAGCCTCCACCCTCTATGGTACCCATACCTAGGGTCCATAAAATTTATCATTTTTGAAGAGGAATCTTTTCTTATCTTAAGTATATCTTAACTATGTACATAGATCATCAGCATAATACCCAGGAGCAGACAATACGATTTTAAAGAATTACATGCAATGCAGTTTCACTATGTAATCAATAAAGCGCCGCCCTTACACCAGAACGTCATATCCAAGAGCCCTGTAATTCACAATATTAGAAGATGTACCCCTTTTAATCGTATTTATCTTCATGTTTAACGCCTATAAGTGTTTTAATATTAAGTGACCTCTTTATATAATAGATTGAGTGGAAAAAACATTGCTGCTATCGTTACACCTGGAATTGCTCTGCTGTTGGCGCTGGTGGTGCTGCCTGTGCTATACAAATTTGGATGTTTAACGAGGCTGGTAAGAAGTCGTAAGACACTTTGATTTGTAACTACATTATGCTTTAGCTAGTCCCAAGCAAAAAAATAATATACTTTGTGAATATCCATGTCTAGTCAACATCTAACTGAGTGTGTAAAGTTGTTGTAATTACCTCTGTTGTAGGTGACTTTATTGATGTAATTAAATTAGAATATGATCATTAATTTCAATTGCACACTTAAGAGAAATCGTTCAAGACTGGTATCAGAACCAAAATTGATTATCAATTTTGAATTGACCGAACCTCATGAAAACAATTCAGTTTAACTAATTCTACATCTCCCGTCTTTACCTGTTTGTACATATAAAGCTAGTGGCTTCCAATATATACATATATAATTCTAGTAACTCTATGTGTCAACCTGTCTTGCTATCACATTATAAATCACAAGCAGGTAAATAGAACTGATCACAACAAATCAAGATTTTAGTCTTTCAGATTATAAAAAAATTCATTTGCTTAATTATTTAACTAGAAAATATCTTGGTTTGTTTAGAATGTAAAATAAGATAAGGAAAACCAGAATGCTCACACTTAAAAAGCTGACATGAATTCTTTTAAAAACGCAACATTTACATCTATGTACGTTGCTTGTTGCATACAAACTATAACCACAACCTGCCTTATTTCTTTCAGAAACCTTGTCTTATTTTAACGGTATTATACCCCAATTCATTCGTTAAACTAAAATGACTTTTAAGGTCACCTGAGTAAACTCAGGTGACCTATTGCTATCTGTTTTCGTCCGTCGTCGTTCGTCGTGCGTTCTGCGTTAACATTTGAACATTTTTAGCTTCTTCTCTGAAACCACTGAACCAATTTTAACCAAATTTAGCATATGGGTAAAGGGGAACAAAAATTATGAATTTCGTGGTAAATGTACATGCCCCCCTGGGGCCTGGGGGTGGGGCAAAAACCACTAAAATTAGTGCAATCTTTAAAAATCTTCTTCTTTACTCCGGGATATCAAGCAGTGAAACTGTTGGTATGATTGTAATCAACATAGAGTTCTTTACCAAAATTGTGAAATTCATGGCCCCAGGATCAGGGTTTTTTGTGCTAGGGCGGGGCTAAACAGGTTATAAAGTGAAAATGCATTATTTCTTTGAAATTCTTCTTTTCTGTTTGTGGGCTTAAAATAAACTAACCAAGTGCATAGGTTAGTTGAAAATATTCGCCTTGTCCAAAATTGTGAATTTCATGGCCCCAGGGTCAGCATTGTTGCATGAGTAGTTTTACAGTATGTAAATATGTGCAGAATAAACTTGAAATAATTAGCATTAAAATGCGTAAAAACAATTTGAAATCATCTGTTATTAAAACGAAACAAACAACCAGCGTCTTTGCTGTGAATGTCCATTAAAGGAATCACTGAATAGTTAGTTTAGTAATTTTGGCAATTATTTTACTATTCTATCCTCCCCACAAAGTACCTTCATTTTGAGGAATTTACTGTTTTATAAATATGCATGTACAGGAAGCCATTCCAGATTTTTGGATTCTGCCTGACAGTCTACAATTCTGCATCAATGTGAAATATGGTCTTGTATGAATATGTTAAAAGCTGGAGTGGGACTACATTAAACCCAGTCTTATTAAAGAGATACTTCTTTATTTAGACTTTTACACAGTGAATATTCTCTCTCTTATGATATCGTCCGTTAGCGCAATGATAAGTATAAAATCCTATGTAAATTACCGCTAGTTATATATAAAAACAAGCTTTGCCATTTATATAGGCAGAACAAGGATTTTTTTTAAAAGTGGAATACTTAAACTTATTAAAAAATGGAATTATATTGTAATTTTGTTTTTGACAAGAATAAGAAACAACTCTTGACATCGTAAAGAAAATATAGATTTTTATTCGTTTCAAAACGATTTCCCCCTTTGAAATTTCCCCTTACCCACAAAGCTAATCGGGAGGGACCGCGTGTTTCCAAGTGCTATACAGTGACAATACTTTTACTGTTGATTTATAAATGGTTTTCATGACTTCTGACATTCATGTTTCAAGAAAAGTAAAATAGAATGCAATTTTCCCGACTGATCAACATCCATGTACACGTAACGATGCATACAGTGTATGTAGCAATATTCAGGTAAATGTGTTTATTACAACATTCGATACGTTCTCTTGGCATGCGTGTATGTATATCCAAACGGCTTTTGTTGTACATGAATGCAGACTGTGTATCATTTTTTTACATTGTAGCTAAAGCAAAATGCATAAATTTACTTCTCAGTATAATTCTAGTTTTTGTTGGATTATTACTTTTAAATCATGAAAATGGTCAGTTTCATTTGCTTGTAAACTATGCTATCGGAGATGGGTACATGTCGACAACCAGGCCAGCAAATCACTCAAGTGAAACAAATGCATCAGTGCTTATAAAGCAGGTACAGGTAGCCAAATAAATATGGCGTCATTGAAGAAATATGGCGGAAAGGGGCGTATAACAATGGAGTAAATCATACAGAGATAACATAAATAATTTCGTGACAGCTTTATCTGTTCATATTTCAATGCTAATGGCTATTAAACTGATCAGGAATTAAAGAGTGATTACAAATTCTGAGTAAATCATAACTTCAGTTTATAACATGTTTCTTTTTATTTTGTAGAGAGGAAGAATCTGTCGATATTCAGGAAGAACCCCTGTTAGTGGTGAAAGAGCTACAGAGGATGGAATATAATACACATATTTGTACTTTAAAATGCTGTTGAAGACTTCCCAAAATTATTTTTAAAATCTTATGTTTTGATCAGAGGAAAATTATGTCTACTCCAAAGGATGTATAAACAATTTCAAAATGTCAACCTATAGGAGAGAAAGTGATAATCAACGATCAAAATCTTTAATTCTTGTTTATTTTTTTTTTCTTTGGAATGTACAGCGTATAAATATTTTTTTTGAAATTTGTATTTCGCATTAAAGTTATCATTTACAACTTTGAAATAAACCTCCGAATCTGTACAAAACAACATTTTGTCCATCATAGTGTCCATTTTTGCATGAATTTTATAGTCCTTCAAATTAAAGAATTAATTTTCTTAACATCTTTTTCATCAATGAAGTTGATAAATTTATAAAATACTACATTATTAGGATACTTCCTATTTCAAACATTTTTATTGAATTATTTAATCTTTATATTATATCACTGGCAAAAGGGCAGATAACTCCAAACCTTGAATTTGAATTGTATTTAACTGCCTGTATTTATTAATTTTAAGTTTCAAAGTAATATAAGAATATTTGAAATGAAAACCCCCGGATAAAACCTCCAATGTTAAATGTAGAGTAATTTGCAATTGTGTGTGTGAGGGTGTCTGAGAGGGCATGTGTGTATGTTTATCATTAAACACTATACATGATTGTATTTTTTTTTAATACAGCCATCAACCAATCTCTCATATTCTGAATTTTAATTTTCCACATACATGTACATGTAAATTATTAATATATAAATAAATAAATAAAAATGATTTTTTTTTTCAAATACCACATTAAAATACCAACTATAATAGTATCACTGAAAGGTGGTAAATTTAAGGTGAGGAGGGGCTTATTTTGTACTGGTGTGGAATGCCTTGAGGGCTAGCAGTCTACCTGTGGTCATCTCTCTACTAATCACTATACACAGGAAGTGATTTGGTACTGTGCAGTGAAATACCCACATGTCAAACTTTACCTGTGCTGAGACAGTTTTAAATTAGAAGCACTAGTATACAATTGTATATAAATAAAGATTCATCCAAATAATCTATAAAATTGATTTGTAATTATTTTTTTTTTGAAAACGATTGTCCCATTAAAAATATTGTTTTGAATATACTATTATATCACAGATTAAAACAAAAATTGATGCAGATGTTTCCGATGTTGGTGTTACAATTAAAACCACCAAAAAAGCAAAAACAAAAACAAAAACCACTTCAGTTACTTCTGAATCAGTCTTTATTCAATAACCAAAGGTTTTTATGCACTGAAGTTTGATAAATGTATATTATCATGAAGAATATTATTATCCTTTCAAAAAAGGTAAATTTAATTCATATATTATCAGGCTAAAACTTTTCATAGTCATTCATTTTCTCAATACAATGTTCACAGTTAAACATCTAAGGATAAAAAGGTAATTTTAGGGTATTCAATTTATAAAGACCAGATTTCGTACCAAATAAATGAATTGTCTGATATTTTTAATCATGGCAGCATTTTGAAGATGTTATCAGATAAAAATGCTCCACCTAATGAACTCACAAAATTTTTATTTTGTTCAATTAATTTCACCTTGAATTTTACATTGATGTCTTTAGGCAGTGCATATCTTTATAAGATATTGTAAAAAAAAAATTATTTGATTTCAAAAAAATCTCTTGCTAAAAATATGCATGAACTCCCTCTTTATTAGACTATAAAATAAAAAGAATTATTTACAGAAGATTTGATTTTTTTTTCTTCTTTTCATCGAGGGCAGATAAATTTTCAAAAATGTTTAATGTACAAAGAGACCGTCTCCTTATAATAACATGTTATCAGTCTTGTGAATTTAGTTCATTTAACTTTTATCTTTATGAACGCAGCACAGTTAAGGAGGGTGGGGCCTTATTTGTACGGGTAAACCTAACTATGACATCATACAAAATATACGTCATACAAAAATTCTGTGAAATACCAAAAAATGAGATGATATGCTTATTTAACTTGTAAGAAATCATGAAAGTGCATCACACCTTACTACAGCATACATCTTAAAATAAATCTTAAAATAAATTCATTATATCAATATTTCATGCCGTGGACCAGCAAAAAATACAGCATTCGGTCATACAAATTGGATCGCAGCATTTTTCAGGAAACACAATGCGTGTTAAAAATATTTATGAACTAAACTTGGAATTTTAACTTCGTGATACCTTTGCAGACTTGCACTAGAGAAATTTGTAGGTTACATCAATACGTGACTGCCGCATCAAATGACTGAGTCTAAATATAAAAAAAATTAATCGTCCTCTATATGAATTTCTTAACCATAATTATAATTATCTGATATAAATAAATATAAGTACTAAAATAATCACCATCCCGATTATGAATACATTTTTGATTACAAAATATTGTCAATATTTCCATTGCGCACTTTAACCACATGCGTAGAAATGTGTTTTTTACTTTAGTTAAAATCATTTAAAATCGTTCAAAATTACATTTGTGGTATCTCTCCATTATATAAACATACGGAGAACAAATATCTTCCATTCTGTATGAAGTTTATCAGAGGTCAGAGGTCAAAAGTTGACCTAATCACACGGTGCAACAATATCTATCGGACATAAATATGAAATGACTCGATCTACATGTTTAAAAATGAACAAATAAGCCAGTAAAATTATAATCATTTTATTTACGAGTATGTAAAAAAGACTTGGTATTTCTTACAAGTTTTTTGGATATCGATTTAACCTATGTACATTGTGAAGATATGCAGAAAGAAAATAATTATTGTCTTTGTAAGTTTGCTTACAAATTTTATGTCACTTTCGTCAGCTGCACTGTCTCTAACGTTTATCCTTATTTTTGTGTTGACCTTTATTCAATTTTCATGATAAACTTTAATTTTTATATTAAATTCTACTCACTATAAATGTGTTAATCTGTTGGAAAATATCAAAGCATCACAATCACGCCATGAA